CAAGCCCCTTCCAGGAGGCCACAAGAAGGGCCACCAGGCGCGCAAAAGGCTTATGATTTCAAGGACTCTGCACCCAGACGCCCACACGAAGCTCCAAGACTCCTCAACGGCTCCCCAGACGTGCCACGAGGCGCCCAAGAGCCGCCAAGAAGCATTCACGAAGTTCCCCCACGACGCCCCACAAGGCCTCTAAGAACCTCCACGAGTTCTCCGAAGAAGGCCTTTATAATCCTGGGGGGTGGGAAAACCCCCCCCCCGAAATAGGATCCTCCCCAACCTTTCCGGAAACGGGACCCCTCACGAGGATCGCAGCCTCCGAGCGCGAAAATTAGCGCTCTCCGTCCAAAGAGGAAGGTGAGAGGACACGCGAGGCTCCTTGGACCTCCCGAGAGGCTTTCTCGAGGCTCCTACGAAGGCCCAAGAGGGTCCCAAGAGCCTTCCAGAGTCCTCCGAAGAAGCCCCCGAGAGATGAAAATCAGTGATTTCCTATGGTTTTTCTAAGACTGTTGCTTCTTTGCATGTTCACTGTTCCGACGTGCCAAGACGGCCGAAGACGCCCACAAGACCGATGCCAGACGGCTCAAGAGGCCTCCAAGCGAGTCCGAAACCGGCCCAAGACAGCCCCGACACGGCCCAAGGGGTGCCCAAGACGGCCCCAGAGAGCCCCAAGACGGCCTTCAGAAACGGCACCCCTCACGAGGATCGTAGCCTTCCAGCGCGAAACTGAGCGATCTTCGTCCGAAGAGGCACCTACGAGGGTACGCGAGGGTCCTCGGGTTGCCTTAAAAGCTTCTTAAAGGTTCCCCCGACAGCTTGAGAAGGCCCCACGAACCTCGCAGAGTTCTCTGAAGAAGGCCCCAAGAGATCAAAATCATTAATTTCCGATGGCTTTCCTAAGATTTTGGCTTCGTTGCATGTTCACTGTTCCGACGTGCCAAGACGGCAGAGGGCCCAAGCAGCCTCCAAGCGAGTCCACAGCCGGCCCAACAGAGCCTCCAGACGGCCCAAGCCGTGCCCAAGACGGCCCCAGAGAGCCCCAAGACAAGCTTCAGAGAGAGCTTAAAAGGGAAAAACATACAATTGCAACGCGCTCGGCTCCCACACGGCCACGCGAGGCCCCAAGCCCCTTCCAGGAGGCCACAAGAAGGGCCACAAGGCGCGCAAAAGGCTTATGATTTCAAGGACTCTGCACCCAGACGCCCACACGAAGCTCCAAGACTCCTCAACGGCTCCCCAGACGTGCCACGAGGCGCCCAAGAGCCGCCAAGAAGCATTCACGAAGTTCCCCCACGACGCCCCACAAGGCCTCTAAGAACCTCCACGAGTTCTCCGAAGAAGGCCTCGAGAGGTTCAAAGCATCAAGTCCCCATTGCTTGGTAAACAATGTTTGCTTTCACGCATGTTCGGCCTGGTGACATTCCAAGACGGGTGCCAATGCCCCAACACAGCACCCAGTCGGCCCAAGCGGCCTCCAAGGGAGTCTCAAGACGGCCCAAGAGGTGCCCAAGACGGCCCGAGTGAGCTCCAAGACAGGCCTCAGAGACCGTCACCGATTGGGACACACCTGCTGATTTCGAGACCTCCGCTCCCAGACGCCCCACAGCTGCGTGCAAGGCCTCCTATCACCGGGACGTGGCGATTTGCCTACAATCCCAGGTTTGCAACCATATTTTTACAAATCTCGCTGTCAACCCGGGATTCACGCAATTTCCCAACCACCTTTCATTATATTGGGTTCTTTTCTAAAGCTGTAGCGTTTGGTTCAGCGTGCGCGACGCGTCTCAGCATGCCCCGTCACAAAGAGATTGTTTTTACGTGCTCCGATTGTGGCGAAATTTTGCCTGCCGATGCATTCAGCAAAACTTTTGGTTGCGAACCCGGGATTCGATAAGTTTCCCTCTGAAGTCCTTTTCTTGCATTCCATTTGCCCCTTTCGTTGCTTCGAACACCAAGTTCTCCCACTCCCCCTCCGCAACCTCTGCACATTCGCAATGAGAGCCCGCGAGGACCCCTCGAAGGGACCGCAGGATACCGCGAGAAGCCAGCCGATCCAAAGCTTCAAGGAACAAGATGCATGGCGCGAAGCGCCTATGCAGCCTTGTATATATACATATATATATATATATATATTGTTTGTGTTTCTCTCTCTCTCTCCCCCCTTATCTCTCTTTCTCTCTCTCTCTCTCTCTCTCGCCCCCCCCCTGAACTGAATGCTGTGCGCCCTCGGTGGTATCACTGAGTTGGAGCTCAGCGTCTCCCCCTCTCTGTCCTGCTGGGGGAATGTTGTCTATCAAATTGCTGTTTTGTCGGAGCGCTTCGGCCCGAGCCTTGACGCTCCGCTTCGCACACACATGGCACAGATCAGTGTTCCGAACCCTTTGGTTAGCCTGATGGCTAGCTCGGAGGTGTTCGTTCTTATTTGCGAAGTCGTTTTCGGCACGTCGGGCGACAGGTGAAAGGCTCGTCTGCTCGAGGTCGAACAGGCACTCTGGCATTACCACCGTGACGTGGCCCATTCAGTATGAAAAACGCTCAATCGTCTCATGGAGCGTGGTGAGGCCGAGTTGGCTCGCGATGGAGCCGAGGAGCTGGTTTTGCGTGTGATGCTCAGGGATCTGGATCGTGGGCGCCTCTCCCCTGAGGTCCAGCCCAGTGATGCTTGCTATCACGGGTTGCCCAGGAAGCGTTGATTCTAGTTGTCGCTCGTTCCCTGCCTCTGGTGCTGCCTTCGTCCCGTGCGGGCGGGGCGCTGCCTGTTGGCTTCTCCCTCTCGCGCCCGCTCCGCTGTGCCAGGTCGTGTTGCCCCTCCGCCGCCGCTGCTGTTCTCGCTCTTGCCGCTGCTGTGCCCTCTCCCGCTGCCTGCCTCATTACCGTCGGGTGCTGCTAGACAGTGCCCCTGGCCCAAGGTACCCCCAGCGTTTCGTTCAATGTTCGGGCCTCCGGGGCCCTCTGGGCCTCGTACAGGGGTGCTCTGGAGGCCGAAGGGGCCTCCTTGGAAATCCTGGGGGCGCCTTGGGCCAGGGGGCACTTCCGGCAACACCCGATGCTGCTGCCCCGCCGTGCTGGCGCGGCTGCCTGCGTGTCGCGGTTTGGGGGGGGGGGGTCCTTCGCCGGGCGCTGGCGGCGCGCGTGCGCGCGAGCCGCCCCGCCGCCTCGCCCGTCGTGCCCCGTCGACGACCAGCACCCTCTGCCTGCCGCCCTCGCGGGCGGGACGGCTCGGGCCTTACTTTGCTTCTGGGCCCCCTAGATCGGGGTCGGAGTAGATGGGGTCGAAGGATCGAGCCTCATCGCCAATGCATCGACGATGCGGATCGATGTGGAGCCCGTGTTTCCCCACGCCGACGTCGCCGATGCATCGCCGATGCATCGGCGATGCATTGGCGGTGCGGCGCGATCCTTCGACCCCATCTACTCCGACCCCATCTAGGAGGCCTCTATTGCTCCTGAGCTGCGGATGGCTGTGGTCCTACCGGGTCTTTCCTTCAGGGGCCTCCCACCCGAGATGCAGGCGAGGCCAGTGGTGCGCAAGCACCAGCCCTGCTGGGGCATGGTCTTTCGCCGCTCGCGGCAGGCATCGCTGTCCGCCCTTGCATAGAGTGCGCCCCTCCGCCAGTGGTCAACCATCCGTTGGCGGGGCGTCCTGGGGGAATCGTCGCGCGCGCGAGGTAAAGGTGCCGCGATGTCCTCCGCCCGCGCCTGAGCCTGACAGCGTTGCACTTCTGCAACAGATCGTACCCTTTCTCATTTTTGCTGCAGCCCCCTTCCTGTTGCCGCCGCCGTCTCTCTTGTCTTTCCTCTGTTTTGATTTGCACGCCCATCTTTACTGATAGAAATGGTGCATGTGTGCGCCTGCGGTGAAAGAAATCGTTTCCCTCGTCCTCGATTCATTTCCCTCTGAATAACTCCTCCCTGTCGCACCCCGAGGCCGGTCCAAAGGGCGGCCGGGCGTTTCGCCTAAATTTCCTTACCACTCATGACCCTGAAGCTTCAAACCTGCAAACAGTTTCACATGTGGAAGGTGGGTGGTTTTCAGACTGTGGGTCTCGCCTAGGCGCCCGCCGCGCATACTCGTTTTACGTAGATACCTGCAAGAGTTTCATGGGTTGAAGGAAGGTCGTTTTCAGATTTTGGCTCTCGTCTTAGCGCTGCGCACAGTCGCTTCAAAAATGCACAAGATATTCACAGATTGAGGACGGGTGGTTTTCAAAATGTGGTTGTCGCCCCAGCGCCGCGCACATTTGTTGCAACGAATTGCAGAAGCTTCGCGGATTAAGGGCGGTTGGTTTTCAGCATGTGGCTCTCGCTTGAGTGCTGCGCACATTGGTTCTAAAGATTTCCAAGGGCGTCACGGACTGAGGGCGGCTCTTTTTCAAAATGTGGTTCTCGCTTCAGCGCCGCGCACATTCGTTTTAAATGTTTGCAAGGATTTCATTGGTTGCCATGGACAACGTAGCAGAAACGGCGTTTTGCAATTACGCAGGACTGCCAGGGCGCAACAGTTGCGTTGATTCGCGGTGTTGAAGTCCCAAGAATGGCGTTATGGTACGATTCAGGATCGTCGAGACGCAAGAGTCAAGTTCATTCGTGGCGCTGAAGTCCCAGGATTGTTGTTTTCTTACGCTTCAGGATCTTCATACGGTTCTCTCCCAGCGGGGCACTTCCTTCAGTGGAAATGAATTATTGCAGGAGCCTGTGAACAGGAAGCCTGGGGGAGGGTTTTTTCCAACATCGTTGAGGAGTCCTGGGTTTACACTGGTCCTCCTCCTGCTCCTGGTTCTCCTCCTCCTCCTCCTCCTCCTCCTCCTCAACCTCCTCCTCCTCCTCCTCCTCCTCCTCCTTCTACTCCTCCTCCTCCTCCTCCTCCTCCTCCTCCTCATCCTCCTCCTCCTCCTCCTCCTCCTCCTCCTCCTCCTCCTCCTCCTCCTCCTCCTCTCAAGATGTAGGGGCGAAGGGGAGCCGTCTGGCAGACGCCCCCCGCGGGGCGCCGCCGGGCGTGGCAGGAACGCGTCCTCGCGGAAGCGACGGAGGAGAACGTCCGGCTCAGAAATGACATCCAGGACGGGCCCCGCGATCGCGATCGCGAGCCCATACTTTCGTCCCTGCTCCGTTTCTTTTCCTTATAGATAACTCCTCCCTGTCGCGACCCGAGGCCCGTCAAAAGGGCGGGCCGGGCGTTTCGCTTGCGACTTCCTCACAATGTATGATCTTGATGCCTGAAGTTTGCAACAGCTTCACAGATGGAGGGCAGCCCGTTTTCAACATGTGGTTATCGTGTTAGCGCCGTGTGCATTCATTTTAATAAAAGTCTGCAAGAGCTTCATTCCGTAGCCATTTTGGGCTCAAGCCGTTTTGGCTCAAGGGGAAGCTCGGTGTCCATCTCTTGGGGACAGGCCCCAGAATCTTCTCCTCCGTGCGCAGAAGCACGTTACGTTACCGGCCACCGCCATTTTCTTGTGTTGCCCTTGCTGGGTAAATTTTGTCCTTTCCAGTTCCTGGTTAGGGCAGTGCCTTCGTATATGGCTCCTGCTCCATTCGACCGCGTGCGAAGAAGATGTGCAAGAGCGACTACATTGCTTCGAGGCGCAATCGACACCATGATCGACAGCCCTCCACGGACTCCCATGAGGAATCCGACGGCGGCGGCCCGCCGCCACGCACATGAAAGGGCAGCTCTCGTTCGCCCTCTCCTACACGTATGTCCATCAGCTCCGAGGGTCTCCATGGGAAGTCTCGCGGAAGGACGGCAGAGGCACTCGAGGGAAAGATCGATTCCACCCTGGACAGTGTCAAGACCCTGGCTGGCGCCGCCACCTCATCACATCAAGGGCTGGCCCAGCTCCAGCAAGAAGTTGAATTTTCGAACCAACGTTGTGCAGGACTTGCTGGGCGCATGGGCACTCTCGCGCTTCAGGTCCAGAACTCGTCCGCTGAGGCTGACGAGTACATGAAGGACCTCCAACAACATATTGACAACATGCAGCGCAGGCTCGACAGGATCGAAAACTCACCGACACCGAGAGACGGCAACACCATGGAGACCGACATCCCGCCTTCCATCGTCCAGCAGAGGACCTCCTCCATCGAGGCGCAGCTCGTGCAGCTCACGAAGCCCCCGCCGCCGCTCAAGCAACAATCGACACACCGAACAGCAGCCATGGAGCGCGCCCACCGAGTAGTGATTGTCGGCTTCCCCCGCAAGATGATACAATCTTCCCTCAGGGCTGCAGCCAGCATGTTCCTTCGAGCTGGAGTCCTTCAGGACCGTCCGCAGCCCACCGTTCGAGCATTCGACACGACGGGGAAGGTCACCCTGGACTTCGCAGACTCGCTGAAGGCATCCGACTTCCTGGCCAACCCCATGGGGGCGCAGCCGATCCAGTACCCCGACCCCGTCTTACCCACGCAAATGATCGAGCTTCGGGCCAAGCGCGGCACTGAGCCTGGCACCCGCCTCCTTTTTCTCACCATGGGCAAGATCCGCGAGCTGCTAGCGGCCGCTACGCGCCCGCTACAGAAAAAGATGGGCTCCAACGGCCTCGGCGGTGACATCTTCGTCCTCAGGGTGCCCGAGGGCCCCGTTATTTTGTTCCACGTTGCGCTCCACACCAGTTGCCCTCCAGTTCGACCCCGAGCAACTTGCCGAGTTTCGCACGACTGCCACGCCCTTCTCACCTCAGATGTTGGCGAGCGTGGCCCACCGGAACGCCCCGCCCCCCTTTGAGGAGTATGAAGGCGAGCCCTGGGCTGCGGGCGCAGCTGCCTCGCCACTGCCTGCCCCGTGCAATTCAGCTGCGAGCCCTGTCGGGTATGCTTTCTCTCTTCCGCCTGACCTCCTGGCTCCCTGCGCGGCCTCCTGGTCCGATGATGTGCCCTTGGCTGCGGGCGCGGCCCTCCCCGTGCAGGCCCCCCTGTCTGTGGGTGCCGCGAGCCAGGGTCTGCCCCCGCCCGATCCGTCTGTCGGGCCCCGCCCATTTTCCCCGCCCCCCCCCCCCCTCGAGATCGGTTCTTGGAACGCCCACGCCCTCTTCGCAGCCGTGCGCAGTCAGAGTGTTAAAGCCCCATCCACGGTGCGCTCGTTTCCGCAAGTACGCAAGGCAGCTCACTGTTCTCTGCGCACAAGAGTGTCATGGTCACGTTGCGTTGTGGATGTCAATGAGCTGCGCCGTGGGCTTCGAGGTTTTGAGATCGGTCACTCCCTCTTCACTGACTCCGCGAGAAAAGACGGCGCCCTCGCTTGCGCCCGGCCCCCCTCTGCAGGCCCCCCCCCCCCCCCATCGAGCACGCCCCCGTCATTGAAGGCAGGATCCGGAAGTCTTTCCTCTCTGGGCCTCACAGAGACCCCTGCATCATTTCCGTTCACGTGCCAAACACCAGCGGCCCCCTGACGATCTATGCGTGCGCTCTTCGTGACATCGTCCGCTCTTTGCCTCCCCCGTCCTCCTGCGCGACCGCTCTCGCAGGCGATTTGAATTTCGCTCTCACCTCGGATAGTCGCATGCGCGCCGACGGCAGCGGCTGGCCTGCAGGAGACGAATCACGCGCGAACCTCTTCTTTAGGCACAGCGCCCAGGGGACAGTGCTTTTCCAGTCTGAGGATACGAGGAGGGAGGTCAGGGAGGGCACCGTGGCCCACGCGGCTCGGCTGGATCGAGCACGCTGCACGTTGCCACCCGCGCTGCTCGCCGACCTCGCCATCCGAGGCGAGGTCCTCGGCGGGCTGCAGTCGAATGCGGTCTCGCTCCACATCCCCATTGCCGTGGCCATCAGCACCGTCAAGCCCCAGGGTGCTCCTAGGAGGATTCCGAGATGGCTGGCCCGCCACCCGCTCCTTGAATACATCCTGGAGCCCGCGACCGCCGCCCTCCGCGGCCCGGGCCCCTGGGGCCGCCTGGCCCGCATCGAAGACCTGATGCTCGAAGTTGCTGGAGAGTTTTGGTCGCGGCTGGCCACCGAGTCGGCCGAGACTACGGGGGCCGCAAACACTTCCGCGCCCCCCAGGCCCTCCGCGCTTGGCGGGCAGGCGACGTTCTCAGAGTGCGGCTTGCAGCGCGTGCTTATCCCGCCCTTCATGCCCTTTCCCTCTCCTGACCTCCATGGCGCTCGCATCCTTCCCCTTTGTCTTCATGCTCAGAGTTTGCACGTTACCCTATTAGATGAAGAAGAAGAAGAAGAAGACAAAGAAGAATAAGAATAAGAAAAAGAGAGAGAGAGAGAGAGAGAGAGAGAGAGAGAGAGAGAGAGAGAGAGAGAGAGAGAGAGAGAGAGAGAGAGAGAGAGAGAGAGAGAGAGAGGAGAGAGAGAGAGAGAGAGAGAGAGAGAGAGAGAGAGAGAAGAGAGAGAGAGAGAGGAGAGAGAGAGAGAGAGAAGAGAGAGAGAGAGAGAGAGAGAAGAGAGAGAGAGAGAGAGAGAGAGAGAGAGAGAGAGAGAGAGAGGGAGAGAGAGAGAGAGGAGAGAGAGAGAGAGAGAGAGGAGAGAGGGAGAGGGAGAGGGAGAGGGAGAGGAGAGGGAGAGAGAGAGAGAGAGAGAGAGAGAGAGAGAGAGAGAGAGAGAGAGAGAGAGAGAGAGAGAGAGAGAGAGAGAGATGAGAGAGAGAGAGGGAGAGAGAGGAGAGAGAGAGAGAGAGAGAGAGAGCTGGAGAGAGAGCTGGAGGCCGGCGCCACGAACATCTCGGAGGACCCCCTAGACAGCGCTCCAAAAAAATCGAACCGCAAGGGGCTCTGGGGGAATATGCAACGTCGCACATGGCTCCAAGAGACCCTCTCCACAGAAGACACCCAAAGTACTTCGGACTCAGAGACAGCAACCACCCTCTTGCAGCACTGGAGCCAGATTCGCCGCGCCTGAGATGGACGTCTTTCTCTGGCCTGAGCTCTCGAATTCCACCCCGTCGCTGCCGGCGTTGCCAGAAGCCGCCAGCTCTAATGTTCCGGTGGAGGGGGGATGGGTTCTTGGCGAGGAGGAGCGGTGGCACTTGGTGTACCATCTGCTGGGCAGCATGCCTGGCGTGGGCGGCGCCCCCTATTCGGCCTGGCGCGTTCCCGCTGCCTGCTCTGCGCTCGACGGCGGTTACCGTTGCCTCCTCGCCCACCCACCCGAACTCGCGCCCCCCCCCCCCCCCCCCCCCCCCCCCCAAAGAAAATTACAGAGCACGAGGTCGGTGATGGAATATTTCGGAAGCCAGCGGCCACGAGACCCCTCTGCATGACGAACACAGATTCGAAGTTACTTTCTGCCTCCATGACGGTGGCCCTCGCTAGACAGGCCTCCAGAGCGAACGTCTAGTGCAGCCCTCAAAAATGCTTCAAAGGTCGCGACATGTTTGTTAACGTCATCGAGGCCGAACTCTTTCTTCCTCAGAAACACATGAAAGACAGGTTCACCTCGGGCCTGGCCCTCGCGGACTTCGACTCCGCCTTCCCGTCGACCCTGGCCGCCTGGGCCCCGCGCGTGTTGGAGAAGAAGATGGGGGCCCCGAGCGCGGCCATTAGTCGACTCGGGGATTTTTGCGCGGATAACTCCGCTACCATTTCGTCGCATGTCCAACTTTTCGAAAGCTCCGCGGTTGAATGAGGCGCGCGCCAAGGAGGTCCGAGTTCGATGCTCCTGTTCATTCTTGCCGTCGAACCTGTGCGGGCGCGGCTAGCGTGGAAGCTTGCTGACCGCGTTGAGCTGCCCCTCGCTTATGCCGATGACTTCTGATTCGGCCTGCGGCGCCTCTGCGACGGGATTGGCCCGCTGTTCGCCTGCCTCCTTTGTCTCCAGCTCGCCGTCGGCTTCTCTCTCAACGCCCCGAAGTGTCAGATCATCCTCGTCTTTAACCCTCTCAAGGTTCCCCTTCCAGAACCTCCTCTGCGAGCTTGGCCACCAGCTGCCGAGCCTCGAGATCGCAACTTCCCTCAAATATCTTGGGATCTGGATTGGGCAGGAGCCGGGGGAGTTCGCTCGGCTGGAAAACGTCGTTAAGCTTCGGAAGCGGTCTCGGGCACTTGGGGATCTGGGCTTGGGTCTCGCTCAATCGTTGGTGCTTTTCAAAACGCACTGCGCATCGCTCCTGTATTTCGT